CAGAGATTGTGCCATTGTGTTTTCACAAACTTCCATCGGTGCTGAAGTAACTGATTGGCTTTTCCAGGCAAAACTGAGTCCCAGTGTGGGAGAGGTGCCTTGGGCAGCTCAGAGCCATCACGGGGTGTGATCCCAAGTGCCAGGCAAAGCCAAAGCTCCAGGGCCAGCCAGCCCTGAGCAATCCATCTCCTGTGGCAGACTCTGGCTACACCCAAAGCCTTGGCAGGGCTGCAGTGTAGAAACTGTGCTATCATTTCAAATAAACCAATTCTTCCCATCTGCCTCCTGCATCCTGCTGCTGGGCCACACTCTCCAAATGGCCACAGGGAAAAGGTTTTACCTTTTTATTGAACATGATAAAATAAAACAATCCATGCAGGGGACGGCAGGACAATAACAGGCTCTCATGGATCTGCTATGGAGCACCAGAGTGGGGGAATTTTTCTGTAGTTCAGAAGGATCCTTTGGTACCCAGGATTTTCCCTTCTTGCTACACTGTATTCCAGCCAGGAAACCCTCCAGGGCATCCAGGCAGCAGGAGCTGATCTCCAGTGGTACATTCAGGAGAGCTCAGGTGTCCTCACTGCTCCATCCAGGTCAAGACTTCCCGGCAGGGAGGAGGAGCGAGTGAATCACCAGGAAAGGGAAGGAGCAGGAAGCTGCCAGGCTGAGCCAGCATGGCTCCTCCTGGACCTTGGACAGATGGAGCTGGCCAGGAGTTAATGTTTAACTCTTCCAAAGGCCTCGGCTCAGGAAAAGGCCCAGGAGACAGCAGGGACATCCTGCTTGGCCAGGAGCTGTGCTGGGATGGTCCCTCGGCGCTGCACTTGTGCCTCAAAGGCAGCTAAGTCAAAAGGCAAGAAAGTCCAAAGGGCCTCACAAAGGTCTGGTAGTGCCAGAAAAGAGATGGATAAAGACGATGGCATGAATGAGTTCATCTGGGCAGCCCTGCCCTGAGCACACCAGTTCCCACACCAAAATTAAGGACAAGCTCGTGAGTTGTTTGTGATATGTTGTTACACACGATCTTGGCAAAGCCTCGGGACTTCCTGCTCATTTCTCCGTCTCTCATTCCTCTTCCCAAGGGCATTTAAATCCAAGCATGACAGTCTTGGTGAAAAAGGAGCATATAGTGCCCCAGGGGAAGGGCAGGACCCAAGATATTAATCTCAGCTCGGGTTACTCAACAGCAGTTTTGGATTCCTGTTCCTCACTTCACCCTTGTCAAGTGGGAATGGTGCTTCCTGAATTCCCAACGCTGCCAGAGTCATGTCTGAGGGCTAATTAGGAAGATCCAAAACCACTGGATGAGTGGCTGTGAGATGCTCCCTTTGCTGAGGACCAGGAACTCAGATTTTCCTGCTCCTCCAGCCAGGATGCCAAGGACAGCCAGGAGCTGCCAGGAAAGGGCTCAGCACTTCTGCCTCTGTCCCACAGGGACACATCCTGCAGGGAATTCATCCATCCTGTTCATTTGTGGCCTCTGCTATAACCTGACATGGGTGGGAAGGAATCAGTCGTGTTCAGCAGGCGGATCCAATGTCTCTCCCAGTCCCCAAGGCTGAGGAAGAAAGGATTCTGTAACCCAAGAAGAAGCAGCAGCTCTGTCCAGGAATAAAAGAGTCTCAGTGAGCAGCTCCTGGCTAAAGTTACCTGCAGGCAGAAAGGGAAGAGCTCAGGCTGTCTCATCAGGTGTGCAGCCCTGCCTTAGCAAAGCTATGCCACAGAAGTTTCATGATGCTGTTTTTCTGTTACCTTGGCTTTATCACAAGGCAAAAAAGGGAATGTACAGACTGACAGAGTATGTTTGGAAATGGAAATAAAATTCCAGTTTAATCACTGATTAAACAAACCAGTGGTGCTGTTGGGAGGGGTCACTCAGAGTTCACGGATTGGGTGGGGACCTTAAAACCAAAAATTGCCATGAGGGTGTCCCAGGCTTTTCTGGGGGTTTCTTCAGCTGCTGCCTCATCCTGGCTGCTGGGCCAGGGCTGTGGGAAGTCAGGAGTCCCAACACTCAGAGTCAGTGTCAGCTCCTTGGGAAATGCTGCAATGGCCCAAGTGAGACTCAGGTAAAACATCAGAAAGGGAGGGGTGAAGACAGAAAATGTTTCTTTGGATTCTCCCCTTTGGTATAAACCTACCAGAGTGATCCCATTCTGCAGCTCCAGGGAAGATGTCCCTGGAGAGCAGGAGTCACTACCAACAGAGTAATAATTACACCTGGGGTTGTGTCCCCAGAGGAGAATTGTTCCTATCTCATCAACCTGCAATTCACCACCTCTCACCAAAGCACCAGAAACTTCATTTTCGATCAATGCTGAGCTCAGAGGCCTCAGCTGCAACTGGGGAATGAGCTCAGAGCTCAGAGGCCTCAGCTGCAACTGGGGAATGAGCTCAGAGCCCTCAGCTGCAGCTCAGGAATGAGATCACAGCCCTGTCACTGCCAGTTCTGTGCAGCCACGGGCTGGTGGGTGCCTTCCAACTCAGGAGATTCCATGATTCCATGATTCCGTGACATGTTCCCTGCTCATACAGCATCTCCTGCTGCCACCTGAGGTGGCTGTCTGTGCTGGAGATGTCGTGGTCCGAGCCAGGAGGATGTTTGTAACACCCTGAATTAAACCCTGGAAACCTCACACCCAATTAATTAAGGCAAGGCAGCGTCTCCTAAGTGCTGCTCTCTTCCTGCTCATGGCCCATCCCGTGGCTCTGTGAGGTGCCTCACGTTCTGGCACGGCCTCATTTGGGCACTAATCCCACACAGATCCCTCTGGCACACGGAGCTCTCAGGGAGCCAGCATGGGCACAGGGGCTGAGGCTTCACACTGTCTTTGATGCACACACTGAATTTTTATCCATGTTATTCTTCCTCCCTGATTTCAATCAGCAATCTGTGGGATGCTGTAGTGCAAGCAGTGAGATCCATTATTTTATCCTTGATATTTGGATAATTAAACTTCCAGGCACTACTGCAGTGTATCATATATTCCCAACATTTCCAAAGAACTACTCCATCCTGTGTAACCTAAAAATTCTCCCTCTGTCTTTATTCATTTCTCATTTCATATCCATTTCTCCTGGAATGGTCTGGGTTGGAAGGGACCTTAAAATCCATCTCATTCCACCCCTGCCATGGCAGGGACTCCTTCCACTATCTCAGGTTGCTCCAAGGGCGGGTTGGATGGACCTGCCTCCATCCCACCAAGATCCAACCACAGGAGCTATAATTTACAGTATGTGGATTTTCTGGGCTATAATTTAGACTTTTTCCTGGAATGACTGAATTTCACATGTCAGTGCTGAGACTGTCATAAAAGTAAACCAACATGTTAATTTAATTAGTCACTTCCTGTCCTAATGGCTGCTGCTCTCCAAGCAGCTCCCAAGGAATTTGGGACAGCCCAGAATTTGGGACAATGTCAACATCCAAGACCTGCAGTTGGGAAAGGAGCTGGAGCACCAAATAAATACAATTTTTTTTAAAGTGCAGGAATTTGGTACTTGTCACATTAGGAAGAATAACAAGGAAATAAATAGAAATAAAAGAAACACAATGAATTGTTCAGATAAATCCCTGGAGGAGCTGCAGGGCTGGCCAGGAGCAGCACTGGTGTCCTGCTAAGGAACCCAGGGATGTTCTAAATCTCAGGAATGCTGCTTGTCTCATTTGGCTGCTGAAGCCAATTTTTCTCGTTTCCAAACAAAACAAGGCTGCAAGAGACCCAAACACCTGGCACAGGCACAGCCTCCCCCAGCACAGCCCCTCCTGAGCCCTCGGGAGCCACGGTGGGGCCGAGCCCCAGCTCTGAGACCCCTCAGTGCACTTTCCTTTGGCCAGGTTTGGGGAGCACCTGCGGCCAAAGGCGAGGGGGGGACAGAGCCAGGTGAGGGGGACAGAGCCAGGTGAGGGGAGGGACAGAGCCAGGTGGGGGGAGGCAGAACAAGGTGAGGGGGACAGAGCCGGGCCAGGGGGACAGAACCAATGAGGGGTACAGAACTGAGCGAGAGGGACAGAACCAGACAAGGGGGACAGAGCCAAGCCAGGGAGACAGAGCCAGGTGAGGGGGGGACAGAGCCAGGTGAAGGGAGGACAGAGCCGGGCCAGGGGGACAGAACTGAGCGAGAGGGACAGAACCAAGCCAGGGGGACAGAACCCAGCAAGACAGACAGAGCCAAGCGAGGGGGACAGAACCAGGGAAGGGGACAAGAACCAGGCGAGGGAAACAGAACCGAGTGAGGGGGGGACAGAGCCAACCCAGAGGGACAGAACTGAGCGAGAGGGACAGAACCAGGACAGGGACACAAAACCGAGCCGAGGGGACAGAACCGAGCCAGGGGCGTGTCCCGATGGGCCGGGGCGTGGCCGGGGGCGTGGCCGTGCGCTCGGGGCCTGGGCCAATGGGGCCGGGGGCGTGGCCGGGGCGTGGCCGGGGCCGCTGCCCGTTGCTGCGGCGGGCGCGGAGGTGCAGTCGCCGGTTCGGCCGGGACAGGTGCGTTGGGACCCGTTGTTCCAGCTGTGCTCGGGTCTCCCTGGTTCCACCGGGACAGGTACGTGGGGCGGCGCGGGGAGGTGACACACAGGTGAGGTAGGAGCTGCGGGCTGGGCTGGGACAGGACAGGTGTGCTGGGGTTGGGTGGGACAGGTGCGGTGGAACCTCTGACCCAAGGTTCGGCCGGAACAGGAGCGCGGGGAAGGAGTCGGGACCGCCGGGACTCCTCCCTGACAGCAGAGCCACCCGGAACCGGAGCTGGGCCGGGGGTGAGTCCGGGTTCTGCTCCGCTCATCCCTTCCCTGGGGACACCGGAGCTGCAGCTTTGTCACCGGCAGAGCCCGGTCCTGCTGCCTCGGGGCCGGTCACCGTCCTGAAAAGCTGGGCTGGGGGCTCATGGCTCCCCGGGCAATGAGGGGCGAGGGGGCCGCGCCCTCCCCTGGCCGCAGCCTCCGGCTCTGGGCGAGTTCGTGCCCGGGGCTGCAGCGTGGTGCCTGTGGGTGGCCCGTTCTGTAATGAAAAGGCCACTTGCACCTCGGGCAAGCGCCAGTTTTTCTTTCAGGATCTTTCCATATAGAGGGATTTATATTCTGCTGTTGAACTCTTGGGTAAAGTTATTGGAGGTAGATTTGTTGTGTTGTGCTAGATTGTGGCTCGGTCACAGTCCTTCCCTAACATCTGGCACACCTCTGGCATCCCGTCTCCATCTCCTCTGGGCTCTCTGCCCCCTTCCACAGAACCTGCTCTATTGCAGCAGGCAGAATATTCATGGTCTTGTTTAAATCTTAATATGTATTTTCGGAAATTACTCTGAATAAACCATTCAGAAGGAGCAGTAAAGAAAGCCCAGAGATAATTGAACATTCCAGAACTGTAAATGAATGAGAAAGGGCTAAGAATGTGGAATGGCATAAAAATGTGGGAGCACAAGTTTCAAGGCATGTCAGAGTTCTGTTTTGTGTCATTTCTAGCGACTGAGATTCCAGATAGGCTGCTTCTCTTTCCAGCTGAATGTCCCAGCAGCAGGTACTGACTTCATAATGGGATTTTTTTTTCCCTAAACAGACCAGATTAACTCAGTGTACTTGTGGCTTTGATGGAGAATGGCAGGGAAACAGAAAAAAATCAGTAGGGAAAAGATGCAGCCCTTAATAGGGCTGGTTGGAGATGTAGTGAGATGCTCAGGCATCCAAACCTGGGTTATTTTCTGAACAATTACACTCGGTTTTGTTTCTCAGTGTTTGACTGAACTGTTCCTTCCGTGTGTCAATGAGCACCTGTTCCTTGTGCCAGGGGAGCTCTGATGAATGCCCAGCTCCTGTTCCCTGGGCACAGCTGACTCTGCTCTGTGAAAGGCCAGTTAAACTGCAGAGAGGCCTCAGGTGAGCTCCCTTTGGCTCAAGATTAGTCATAAAACAAAGTTCAAACTGTGGCATGACACGGCTCATTCAGCGTTGGTCTTTAACACGGACAGAATTCTTTGTGTGGGGTTTTGCAGCAGTAAATTCTATCTGTAATCTCTCTGTGTGTATTCTGAGGCTCCTGGGGGTTGCATCCTGCAGTCACAGAAATACTGACTTTATTTGTGTGTGCAATATGTTTTTTTTAAAGGGAGAAGGTGGAAATGAGATCCTTTGTCTTTGTGGGTGGTGATTTGTGCTGCTGTCAAATGCAGAGCACTCTCAGTGCAGCCTGGATGGAAGTTTACAGGGGGGGACTTGGTGATGCAGAAAGTGCTCAAAAAGGCAGGAATTTCAGAAACTAACTCCAGTTTGGGTTTCCCTTGCTGGTTGGAAGGAGCTCTGTGTGCCTTTCAGGGGCTGAGGCTGCAGGTAGCTGCACCTGGAAAGGCAACATTGATAAGTGGTTTCAGTGTGTTTCAACATCCCCACAAAACCAGCGTCACTTGTTTGCAGCGATAGTTCAACCTGGCTTCTGAAAACTCCACCAAAATCCCTCTTCTGATAAAACATGTCCTGTCATGGTGTGCTGTTCTCTCCAGGACATCAGAGGAATTGTGGAATGTGAGAGAAAGGCTCATTCTTCCTGACTGCTTCTCCCAGGATAGAGATGTGTTCCCCTGCCACCTGCTCTGTGTCCAGGCAGGGAACAGCCCTGGAGAGGCTTCTCTGCTCCCAGGGCTCCCATTCCAGCACTGGGAGCTGCCAGACTCTGCCTGTGCCCCTGAATTCTCCTGGGCTGAGGTGCTGCAGAATCCCACATCTGTCATTTCTGAGCAGGTGCATTCCATACCTGTGAGGATTTCAAAATCCCATCTTTCTTCCCTTTGATTGACTGATTTTTGCCACCTTGTCTGAAGGTGTTTATGTGTGACCAGTTGTCCGGCAGTCCTGGACTCACACTGGATCCAGAGTTCCGTGACTGTGCAAATCTTTTAAAGGAATTAATGGAAAATGCAAGGAAGAGCTCAGCCTGCCTGCATTTGGCATTGCAGGGTCACTTTGTGCCCTTGCCACAGGCATTGTGTGACATGGGACCAGGGATAAAAGAAAAGAGGAAAAAAGGAAAGGCGTTTCCCTACAGGCTTTATTTTTGTCTTATCAGAGAACACTTTAAATTAATCTCCCCTCCTTTCCTCCTCCACAAAAGAAAACTATGTAAAAAATAAATCTGATATAGTCTTGTTGGCTTCTGTGGTGAAAAGCTGGACAAAATCTCTTCCTCCTTCTAGCAGGATGGGGTGGCTGGAGCTGTTCTTTAGGTAATTAATACTATTTAACTGATATTATGCTAACTACTGCAACAGGAGGGGCACAGCTGCCTCCATGAGCATGAGACGTGTTGGAGTTCACCGAGGAAACGCTGCTGTGCTGAGAGTGAGCACAAGAGTGAATGAAAAAATGTTTGTATAGTAATTACATCCTCTTAGTTTCGTAACTCAAACCCTCTTACATAAATGCCAGCACATTTGGTTCGAAACCGGAACAAGCGAGGGCACTTTGGGGCTTCCTGGAGCTCCTGTGAGTGTTTGTGACACGGGATTGTCACTCTGGCATCCTCTGTCGCTGCTCTGTGTCCACGGCTCCCCATTGTGCCTGTGGCTTTATCAGGGCACCATCTCACTGGCATTGCAGAGGAAATGATTACTGTCATTGCTGCCCTTTTCAACGCCGTTGATGGATGAGATCCTGAGGGGTTTGGGATGCTGGGAGCACCTGAATAGGGATGCAGGTGCAAATCACTTTGTGGAACTTTTCTGCTCACGGTTCCTATTGCTGACACTGTTCCTTCCTCCTGAGCAGGGATTTGGGGAGATAAGATGGAGCCTTCCCCATTCAACAGAAGGCAATGGACCTCCCAGTCTCTGAAAATCACTGCAAAAGAGCTTTCCCTGGTCAACAAGAACAAGTCCTCGGCCCTCGCAGAGAGGTTCTCCAAGTAAGTGCTGTAGGTGACAGCTGGCACCTTGGGCAGGGACTGCTGCTCTCACAGTTGCTGTTCCCTGCACAGACCCCCCAACAATCCCACCCTGTGCCTGAGAGTGTTGTTCAAATGCTCCTGGAGCTCTGGCAGCCTCAGGACTGTGATCAGTGCCTGAGCATTCTCTGGGGGAAGAACTTTTTCCTGATATCCACCTTAAACCTCTCCTGACTTGGGTAGAAAAGGAATATTAAACTTCCCTTTTCTCTGAGAGATGGATAAAGGGTAACACTCAAACCATAAATATTGTATACCCTGAGAAAGCTGAGTGGTAGCAACCAACAATTCCCTGGAAAAGCTTTAATGTCCTTAAGGAAATGGGGTTTTCAATGGGATTTGGGGAACTGAGTCTCCGAGGCTCTTGCATTAATAGTGTAACAAAGTTTTGGAGTATTTGGATCTTGAGTGTGGGGCAAACTGTATGGAACTGTAGGAGAGGGGTAGTTACACAGCCACAGTTCCTCTGGGGAACTCTGGCCCAGGGAGAAGCTGTTTGCTGTCACCACCTTGTTAAGGTAATTTATTCACTTGCTGAAGCTTGATTACAGAACCTGGTCATCTTGCTAAATGTTGATAATCCCTTGAAAAAGGCTTACTGGAAGTAATCCAAACTGCTATTCCTTAATCGAGTAGTGTCCCTCTACATAGGTGGGGTCAGTGCCTTGGAAAAAACACAGTCCTGCTCTCTGGCTTTGCCACCCTGATGCCTGCAGGGAGGAGTGTGACTTTTAAGTGCTGTTAATTAAATATTTGTATGTGAAAACATTTTTCTCCATCCTATACAATCACTTTTGTCAGGTCAGGGATGCAAAAGGCAACAGCAGAGATTCAAAAAGTGCCCCATGCTGGGCTGACTCACAGAGTGAGGGCTGGGACTCCTCAGTTGTGTCTGTTCTCCGGGTGCTTCTTGACTTTCATCTGGGTTCCTCTTTGTTTCTTCTTCCAGTATTGATCCCTCTTCCTCCAGCGTCACTTTCTCAGCACGTTGTGTTCAAATTTGAACCCTCTATAGTGCAGAGATGTGGGTTAGTGTGTTTGCATGGATTAAAGAGGAGCAACAGCCTGTAGCACGCTTTTATTGTGTCAAAAGCAGAATTCCACAGATAAGGAAAACAGAAACACCCTTTGCCCAAGCGGATGCTGGGTTCCTTCTCTCTGAAAGGCAGAACTCTCCTTGAAGTGGGAAAATTTGTCACTAATTTTCATATTTCAAAGGCCAAGTGCAATCACCTTGTGCAGTAACCAGTGAGGACTGTGGAGGGACTCACACCCAGCAGAGTGCAGATTGCTGGGAGTTTCCTACAGCTCCTTAAAGGACTTTGATTCATGATCCAGGGTGGCTTATCTCCAGAGGGCTGTGATGGCTCAGCTGCCCAGGAGGCAAGTGCTGAATGGGGGCAGTTCCCAGCCCACAGAGTAAAATCCACTGGCACTTAGGGAGATTTTCGGCATGTGCCAAGCTGGAATTTGTTCTGGTTCAGCAGCTGCTGTATAAAGAGCTGAGTTATTCCTGCAAGCAGACAGCTGGGTGGAGGAAACAATACAGCTATTCCAAGGTAAACTGTCTCTATTTGGGAATCAGAGTGCTTAGGGAATGAAAAGTATTAATGGATGTTATTATTATAAACTGGATGACTGAAAATGTGTCTGTCACTTGGCTTTGTGTTATTTGCTGCTGTTTGTCCAGCCTCTAGTTTTAGTTGATCCAGGGAGTGCACAGAACCCTTGGTGGGGGAAGAAAAATCTCAGCTGTCTTCAGGAGTATTCAGTATTCTGGTTCAAACTTGGGTTTTGTTTGTTTTTCACTCTCTCAAAGGTATCAGAAAGCTGCTGAAGAAGCCACTGCTGAGAAGAAGAGAAGTGTAAGTATTTTGTCTAAGTGTTTGTTTCCATCCTGATCAGGATGGATCACCTGCATGAATATTGCTGTGACAGTTGATTTTTGGAATATCAAAATTGCTGCCTTGTGTCGTACAGAAAATCTGGGTTTGCTTTTGCTTCGTGCTCCATGCTTTTTCACAGTGTGGAGGAAAGGAAATTAAGTTTAATGCCCAAAGCTGTGTTGAATCACCAATTCTCTCCTAAGCAAAAGGCAAAATGAGTTAACCACAAGCCAGGAATACCCACCTCCTGTTCTTACCTAGAGGCACTTGTGTGGTGCCTCTTCCTTTCTTAACTAAATTTAAAGATGCTTAAAAGGAGCCTCCAAGCCTCCTTGAGATCCAACATGTGTCTTTGAGAGCTGTAGAAGCTTCTCTGAAGTTGCAAATACCCCTGGCTGAGGCAGCACCAACCTTTTTGGCCCTGTTACAGCCCCACATTTCCTCCTGTAACCTCCATTGCATTCAGGGGTCAGGGAACCTTGGCTGAAGAAGGTTTCAGGACCAGGGCTTTGTCCTGGACTTTGGGGTAATTTGTATTTTAAAGTACTGCCAATATTTTCAGCATCTATAGGAAAGTTGCTGCCTTGATTTCTCTAATGCTTGGGGAGCCACTCTTTGCTGTCTGGGATATAGGTGGGATAAAAATAAGCATTCTAAAAATTACTTTTCAGTCTTAAATTTTCTTCATTGCTTGTGTCTGTCAATCTTCCTGTGATCAGGGAACAGAGAAGTCTCAAGCAGGAGGGACTTGTGTTAGGAAGGATTCTGGAGGTGTTCCCTCAGAAACCTGCTGCACAATTTTCAATAATTCTGTTCCATTACAACACTTCCCTTATAATTTTAATACTTTCTTTTCAATACAGTCAGCAAACACACTGATTTTCTTTTCTTTGAAGTGTAAGTGGATTCAAGTCAATTTGCAAAGCAGCGTTCAAAATGTGACCAGAAGAGTAATAGGGTGAAAGACTTAAATCCTAATATAGCCACTAATGCCAGTTAATTCCTGTAAGCCTGGCAGCCCTGCTCCACTTGCAATGAGTTTGGAGTGGTTTCCATAAGGGACACACGGGAAACATGCAATGGTGGCAGGTATTGAATGGCTCAGATATGGGCTGGGCTCTGGGAGAGGGAAATTGTGGGAGTAGGACAGGGCTGGCAAGGGGTGATGCTGCTCTGGGTGTTCCATTGGGGGTGAGAGGCAGCACCAGTGACTCCTCTGTGTGTCCTCATCAGTGTTTTCAATGAGTTGAGTGAAATAGAACAAAAATCCCAGCAAGTTACTGGTAAACTGGAGCAGAAGGGTGCTGGTTGTGGGTGCTCGGGTTGAGTTTTGGCTGTGCAGTGTAAAATCCTGAAGTGCTGCTGTTATCTGAGAGCAGGAACAGGTAACTCCGAGGATTTAGTGGCTTCTGAGGGCTAATTTGTAGCTTTTGGAAGGCCTGATCGCTGTTGTCTTCTGAAGACACTGCAGCTTTTGGCACATCAGCTATCTCCTATGGCCTCTTGTGCTCGTGTTTCCTTGTCCTGGGACTGGAGACCCTCTCTGTGTGGATTTGAGTCCCATTTCCTTTATATGTGGATTCAGGTCTTTTGTGTGGCATTTAACTCCTGGGGTTTGAGTCCCTTTTGCCTTATAAGGCCATTCCTGTTTGCTCACTTCCTGCCTTACTCCTGACTTTTCTCTTCTCCCCCCTCCTTCCTTCCCTATCCTGGATGCTTTCTCCATGTGGCACAGCTGGAACTATTCACAGCTGGCCGGGAGCGGGGATCGGTGCTGAGCTTCCTCCTGCATGGAAAGGAAGTTGCTTTGGAGAGCTGCAATTAACTCCTTGTTCTTTGCAGAACACAGAAAACCTGCCCGCTCATTTGACGAGGGGGAATCTGAGCGTGCTGAAGAAGAAGTGGGAGAATCCGGTGCTGGGAACGGAGTCTGGGAAGGAAACGATCCGGAGCAGCTTTGCTGAGGTGAGGCACAAGGTCGGCACCGGCCGCGCCCCTTCGCCATCCCCGGGGGCTGGAGCTGCCTCTGGCCAGCAGCAGCGTCCCGCTGGTGACAGCACGGAGCCCCAGAGCCACCCCCGAGAGAGTGGCAGCATGGAAAACTGTGTGAGAGAGCCCCGTGAAATGGAAAAACCCGAAAGCAGCGAGAGGTCGGAGTCTCCGGGGAGGATCGAGAAGTACAACGTGCCCCTGAGCAAGCTCAAGATGATGTTCGAGAAGGGTGAAGCCACTCAGCCCAAGGTAAGGATCTGTGCCTCCCAATCTTGGAGAAAATAAAGCTGCTGCCTCCTCTGCATCAGGAAAATCCCCGGAGGGAGTGGCTCCAGCTATTGACTCCGCAAATATTGTGTTCATTGTTTTAGTGGAAACAGAACATCGTGCTGTTAGTAACTTACTCGAGCCACGCAAGTATGTGCAGGGTGCTCGGAGTTGTGGCAGCTCGTGATTGCTCTTTGGAGTAAAGTGAATTTGCTTTTGATGAGGTTCAGTGGAAGAGGGGAAAATAAGTATGGGATTTATTAAGTTTTGTAAAGTAAGTTAGGATTGTTTGTGTCTCGTGTGAAGATTACAATGATTTATGCAAACCTGAATTGTAGAAAATGAATATGTAGGGATTTCTGTACTTTTTAAATGAAAGAGTAAGGAACTGTGTGAAATGAGCTCAGCAATCAGGACTGCTGCAGTCGAGATGGAGCACTGAGGAGAGAGAGTTTTTGATATCTGTGTCAGTATGAGTCGCACAAACACACACACACACATCATGAAATACTCCCATCCTTTCCTCGCTCTTCCCTCATCTTTGTGTGTTTCTTATCGAAAAAAAAAAAAAAAGAAAAAAATCCTCACTGAGGGGGAAAACGAAGCCGAGATGGCCAGAGCAGCTCCTGCCCTCACTAGTTTTGACTTGCAAATGCTCAGGGCTCGCATTTTTCTTCCAACTGCTCATGAAATCTGATCCCGCATGTGGACTGCAGCCGGCGTGTCCCGGGGGGAATTGCTTAACTCCAAAATGAGTTGCATATGTTGGGGACTTGCAACACAGTCCCGAGGCCTCGATGCTGGTGGATTTTCCAGTTTTCTCATAGTTTCCTCTCCTCCTGGCTTTGTTTTACTGCGGGTGGTTTTCTTGAAGTATTGACTAAAACAAACACATTTTGGACAAAAGTTGTTTCGATATTGTAACAATGCAGGGCTCAGAGGAGCAACTCGGTGTTAAAGGGAATTTTTGGGTCTGTGTGAAGTCATTTCACAACTTGAATTTTTGGAGTCTTTGTCATGATCTGAGAGCTGCCCACGACAGACCTTTCCTGAACTCTTGCTGTAGGATTAATCACTCAGAATTCCCCAGGAATTCCGCAGATGGGCTTCGAGTAACTTTATCTCAGCCTGGGGAATAAATTATTTTGGAGCTGAGTGAATCTGAAACTGATAGTTTGTCAAGTTTAGCAATTCAAACACTGTTAAAAACCAACTAAACCCAGTAAACACCATCCAGGAGGCACAAAACTGGTTGAGTTCAGTTCAAAATCCCTGTTCCAAGTTAATCTGTTACCCTTACAGCAGAAGGGGAAAGGAGCATTCTGAAGTTTAGATGTGCGGGGGAGAGAGGGTGTGTTTGGAATTCGATTCCTTGTTCTGGGAATTGATCTGTAGATGGCAGAGAAGGGACCTGGGTGCTGTGGGGACCCAGGTGTGGCTCAGTGAGGTGGGAGCCACTGCAGCTCTGCATTGCCTCTCCCATTTATTTCCTGTGCTTTTCCTGAGCGAGGCTTCATGGAACCGTTTTGGTGGAAAATTCCTTTCTGTCATTGAGTCAAAGTGTAAATTCAGCTGAGAGATGGCAGTTTTCCTCGGATTTTAATGAAGACTTGGTGTGTTGGTGCTGTCAGAGTTTTGCTGACACAACCTGTGTGTGAACTAAGCAGCACCACGGCTGGAGGCTCGTGGCAGTGCTGAAAAATCAACTTCCATGGTTGCTGGGCAGGTCTGGGGCAGAGATCCAAGTTAGAGCCTGGATTTCCTGATTCCATCTCCCACTCAAAACATACCTACTCTCATTTTCAGCGTTGTAAGTAAAATCTCGTCATTTATTCATTTAATCACCCAGATTTTGCTCTGTCTTCTGCAATAGATAAGAGGCAGATCTTTTCTTGCATTTTCGTGGAAACAAACTGCTCTTAATCCCATTAGGGGCAGGCAAGTAGCCTGGATTGGTTCAGCACTAAGCAAAGACTGGAACTGATAAAAGACCTGATGTTCAAAGGATTCTTCCTGTAAGTGATAGTGAAAACACACCCAGGAGGGAGGAGAATCAGATCTGCAACATTTCTGAAAAAGTTGTCTCCAGGCTGGTTTGTGTTTTTTCCTTTAAGGTAAAACCTGGCTGTGGTGTGTAGGTGACCTCGTGGCAGGGTCACGTCTGACACAGGTGGTTTGTCATGAAATAAATGTAATTTTGATTTGGGTTTTTGCCCAACTCTGTGCCCCAGGCAAAGCTTTACCTGTGCTCAGGGTGCTTCTGCACTTGCCCAAGTCTGAGAACTCAGGGCTTTCCACACATGAGGAATGTTTCAACTCCTTTAAAAACAGCAGAAGCTGTGCCCTGGGAATTGTGGCTCAGCCACGGAGTGACAAATCCCTAAGGGGGCTTCCTCCATGTGAGAGGAGTTACCTTCCATGAGCTGTGATCCTGCTGATTCCCTGCAGTTGGTCAGGCCATCAGCTGTGATGAGGAATGCCCCTCATCTTCCTTCTGTTAAATATTTTTTTTTTCCTTTTACTCTGCTTTTTATTTCCACCCCCAAGATAAAACTGTTAATATATAAAACCTACACATATCTATAGGATATTTGCAGATTTATTGAATATTTATAGGTTTCTTGAATTATCCTTGACCTCTAAAGCTTTTGTATTCTGGTGGTTGGGATTTTGACTCTGTGTTCTGCAGCTCACCCACAGAAAAGCTCCTCAGGTGAAGCTGTAACACCTGCACAGGTGGCCAAGGGCAGGAGGAGGAGCTGGCAGGGCTGTTGAACATTCTTTACCTTCTTCTGCTGATTGAACTTCTCCTGATGGACCCTTTAGACCCCAAATTTCTGAGCTGCAAGAACCCCGGGCTTGGGGTGATGTTAAAGGGGACGTTGACTGAATAAGAATCATCTAAGAATAGTTTTCATGGAATGAGGGACCTGCAAGTCTTTACAAGTGTGCAGGCACTCCCAGACCTGAGCCTATTGGTCAGTGCAAGACTTGTCAGAGCTAAAGCTCTTTTCCAGTAAGAAAAGTTACCCAAGTCTTAAACCACAGAAATAGAAACTATTTCCCGTGCTAATGGAAAAAGAGGTTTTTCAGCTGCATTTTCCTTTCCTGGTGAAGTTGCTGTTTGCATGGAAAGCAGCCTGATTTTTCACAGTGATTATCTTACACTGCAGTTCTGCAAAAATAAAACTTTGGAATTTCCTTCAGTTTGGTGACCAGCAAATAAGAAAGTCGTTGGAACTGAGGGGGAATGTGTGGTTGGAGCATCTTGCCAAACCTTCCTTTTTCTCTACATTAGCCTCAATCTGAATTTCCAACTGTGATTTAACTCTTCCTAGAGAGGGAACAAAGGTCCAGCACCTTGTAGGATTTTATAGGCTGACTTTCAGCTGTGAATACATCTTATCTTGATGGAGTCCAGTTTAACTCTGTGCTCACAAATTTTTATTAAAGCTGCAGAAATTTCTTTTTGTGCTTCTTTTGTTGAGATTTAGATTCTGGGGAATTGGTCTCAACAAATAAAAATAAAATCTGATTGAGACAGCCAAAGCATCTGTGTGGTGCTACAGGACACCCTGTCCAGCTCTGCAGCAGAGAGTGATTATCCTGAGATCTGAGAATATTTATCTCTAACACTCTCCTGCTTAAGCTTCAGCCTTATCAGATTGAATTAGGGAATTATTTGGTACCAAATGCATGAACTATCCAAATCAAAACAAATAACTCTAGATAACTTTTATTACAATACTATTAATTCCTTTTTCTGTGGCTGAAAACCAATGCAGGTTTTGGATAAGTAGTTCCTTACATCCATTTTCTGATTTTAAATCATCATACAATGACTGTGACAATTAGCTTCAATGGAAATTGCACGAAATGCAGAAGTCTAGACTGGAGTGTTGTATATGCAGTGGGAACAACCTAAAAATCTGATTTTTGTGGTACTTTTCACAAGTTCCAAAGGGCACCGACTGACCTCTTCAAGAAAGTGTCTCCCAGGTGACAAAGGGTCAGGTACTCTGTGATCAAACTTTATATTGCTTAAATAAGATGTCACCTGCCAGACTTGTTTATTGCAGTAAAGCAGATTTGCTAGTGACACCTGTACCTCTTAAAGGATTACCCAGAGCAATCCCTGTGTGTGCAGGCAGCTGATGGGAGGCTCTGTCCCCAGCAGGGCCCCCGGGAGCCACGGAGGGCGGCCGTGGGCAGGAGGATTTCGGACAACAGCCTCTCCTTGGAGGACTGGGATGCTGCCCAAGGAGAGAGGAGCCACAGCACAGCAGGTCAGGAAACCTCAGGGCCTGGGGTTTGGGTTGGTTTTTGTTTAGGAGATAAATTGTATAAAGTAAATTTAACAGAAGTTTCCCGTGGAGGTGTCTAAGGAACAGCTGGATGTGGCACTCGGTGCTCTGGTCTGGGTGACAAGGGGGGGATCAGGCACAGGTTGGACTCGCTGGTCTTGGAGGGCTTTTCCAATCTCAAGGATTCTATGAAATAACTTTTGCCTTTCCAAAATGGAAGGAAGTCCATCAGCATCCCATTTAATTAGTGAAGCCTTGCTGGGAGTTTTCAGCCATTCCATTCTTAAGCATGGGAAACCAAGGCACAGGGAATAACCAACAAGTTAAAGAATGCAACCCATTCTTTCCTGTGTCTCAATCCTAGAACTAGTTTTAATAGTCAAGGTGATTTAGGAAGCAGTGAACAGGCTCCTTCTGCCTCCTTGCTCCAATCCTCATCCCTCCTGTCCTGGCCAGACACAGGGAGCTACTGTGAGCTTTGACTTTAACAAATTTATCTATTTTTTTTAATCTGTTTGGAGACCTTTTTCTAGCAAACCATTTGCAATCTTTTGGGGTCTCCACCAATGGCTGATAGTAAAAATACTCATAGAACATCCTAAGCTGGAAAGAACCCATAAGGATCATCCAGCCCAACTCCTGACCTTGCACAGACACCCCAACAATCCCACCCTGTGCCTGTTGTCCAAATGTTCCTGGAGCTCTGGCAGCCTTGGGGCTCTCAAGGCCGTCTTAATAAATGTTCTGACAGTTATTATTATTCATGTTTGGTTGGTTTTGTTTGTTTTTTTTAACCAGGATATCTTGTAGAGACCAGTCCAGACAAGGCAGAGGCCAGGAAGAACGTGGACATGCCCCGTTTATCAGAGACATCCATAAAGGACAGGCTGGCCAAGTACCAGGCAGCTGTGTCCAAGCAAGGCAGTTCCTCAGGCATCATTCCCATGGTAAGTCTTGGTTTGTGTTTCCAAGTTTGTGGATTTTTGTCCCAGCCTGAGACTGGTAAGATGATCTTATGGAAACCAGGCTGCTTGAGAGTAATGCCATTCTTTTTGGAAAATAACTCTGTGCCTATAGGAGTCATTTGTGATGAAGAGTTGCCTCTACATGCTGCAGGAAGAAATAAATATATTTGCATCTTCCTCAAATAATGTTGAAAGTTTTCCAAGGAATTAATTGCTGGCACCCTGACCCTGAGGTCCTTCTGAAGCATAACTGACATTCTTTTTCTTTCTCTACATGTTTGTTTTTGTTTAGAAAAGAAAACTCAATTCTGTGTTGTCCATCAGCTCTAAGCTGTGGGGAACTGAGGCACAGTGAGATGAAGTGACTTTGTGTGACACAGGGCTCAGAACTTGGATCTCCTGGCCTGCAGCTTGGAGATCTCCATTTGGTTTTCCTCACTTTTGCTTTTCACTTCCCTTTAGGATTTCTCACCACTCTCTGAATCCAATTAGACTCTTGCAGTGAATGAACCTCTGCCTGTTTTGCAAATATTTGACCAGGAACTGAACAATTAATGAAGTGTTACAGCTGAGGAGGTTCCAGGAATCTCAGCTTTTGTTAAAAACTGCTTAGGTACATTTGCTGGAAGTTTCTGGTACTTTACTGGATGATGGGAACTTATATTGCTCAAGTATTACTTTTATTAACCAGAGTAATAGATTTGGAGAGGGAAAGACCATTTAAAGTTTGGAAACTTGCCCTGGAAATGAGAGCCCAAAGTGCTGGTTCTCCCTCAGAGGAAAGCCTGCTTCCCAGGAGTCTCTGTGGAGAGCCAAGGGCCTCTTCCCAGCCCAAACAATTCCTGAATTTCATCTGCATGTGGGTCAGATTCCCCAGCTGTGAGAGAAGGGTCAGTAAAACCTTCCCTGCATGAATGGAAAGTCCTTGCAGCCACTGCAACAAATCTTATTAACCTAATTGCCCATTTCTGCCTCCTGTGCTCAGGAGTGGGGCTCAGAGTGGTGGCTAAGTCACTAAATTCTGTCCTGATGGCAAGAGATCTGCCATTTCCCCAGAAGCTCCTGTTTGCAGCCCCTCAGTGCTCTGGGTTTAGTGTCAGTCCAGTCTGATGCCCTCAGGATGCCCCATCTGGGCACAATCTCTTCCCATTGTCACCTGGCATGTGGATGGGGCCAGGTGGGCTGGAGCTGACAGGGGTTCCTGAGGCCAGTGATTGCAGTGCCACTGTTCCAACAGCAGCCCCAACCTTGGCATCTCCTCCTTCCCTGCTGCCAAAGCAACCAGGGATTTTTTTGCTATGGAAGTGTGGTGTTTGTGCTGCCCTTCTCACACCTGGCCTACAAAGGAAAGCCAGAATCTCTCTTGGGAATGACTGTTTTAGGGCATTGTGGTGTAATAAGGCCTGGATTAAACCTGATGGGTGCTTGGTTTGAGTAGGGGTGAGGAACAATCAGTTCTGTGTGTTGGAAGGGGAGGGAAAAAGCAGATACAGAGATCCAAGCATTAAAATTCCAGCACTGGGTACAAACCTCTTAGATGTGGTTGGTTTTGTGGAGATCTTTTTTTTTTTTTAATGCAGGAAGATGCTGGTGCTGGCATGTGGCTCTTCCATGTCACTGAGAAGATGCCTTGTGAAAAGCACGAGGCTTCCAATGATCTTGTGTCCTGTGGCAATGAAAGAAACAGGAGGTTTCACTGGCTTTTATTGGTTTCAAAGTCTGAAAGATCCTTCTGTGAAAGTCTTCAGTCTATCAAGAACAAAAATCTCAGGAAAACAGAGTCAGGGTTTTGACTAAATGTGGGATTTGCTTTTATGTCAAATTGTATTTAGCAATTACACCGTACTTTAGGCAGTGCTTGTCTGGAAATACTTGTCATTCAAGTGAAAAGTTAACCTTTCTTGAAAAGGAAGATGTGGGTTAAGCAGGGAATATTTAGGAGTTGATTTTTAACAGGAATTTGGAAGAAAAGGGTTGCTCAGGAAAACACTGGCATGACCTCCTTAGAGCACAGTAAAATTCTACAGCCCAATCCTGTTCCCTCATTGGAATCTATAATTTAACAAGTGTCTCTACATTCTTATGGCCCTTCCTTCAATTATCACTCCACATGCTAGAAAAACAGTTTTAAAAACATTTCAAGAAAAACAGAAAGCAAGTATTTTCTTAGGGGAAAAAGAACCTGTCACCTTTCCAGTGCTTTGTCCTGTAGAGTGAGATTCAAGCCAGTGAGAGTGAACTCAAGAATTACAAATCTGGGCAGAAGGAGAATATGGCACCAATTGAGGACTCCAGTTCCTGTCAGGATGGGGAGAAGGTAAGATAATTTTCAGTGGAACTGGCTGTGGAAGCACAGCTGATACACTGGTTCCATGTTCCACATTCCCATCTGGGATTTGAACGTGAGCAGCTGATGCAGATTAGTTACATGCTGCAAAATTCCTGTTTTTATTTTTAATTATTCTTTTTAGACTGTCTCTGAATTAAAAAAGACAGCAAGTGTCTGTGGAAGAGAATGTCTAGAGATTAAACTCTCACAGAAAACTTTGCTGTCTTGGTAGGTTTGTTTTATGGTGGTTTTTTTTATAAACAAAAAAAAATCCACACCAATTAAAAAACCCCCCCATGAGCAGCTTTGTGTGACCCAAGTCAAAGGAGTTTGTCACTGTTTCTTCTGCATTTAGTGGCTAAATTTTAGGGTAACTGAGAATGGCAGTTTGGGTTTGTTCCTGGTTTAGAGCTCCAGCTATAAATTGAGACTCTGTAAACTGGACTCAAGCATTTGTTCTCTCAACTGGGGACAGCAGATGGGATAAAAGTAGCTGAATAATAATTGGGGTACTGTGTATTCCATCCAGGCTGAACACGTGGCAGCTTAATGCCAGGAGGGCTTTTAGAGCTTTTCAGCCTTCCTTGGGCAAGGGGCCAAATCTTTGCTTTCAGCTGTTCAGAGACAGCTGAGCAGCTTCGTGTCTGACTGGTCGAGGCTGCTTCCTGCTCCAAGGTGAGTTCATTAAAAGAGCACCTGTTAAATCAGAATATCTCCCAGTTGTGAATGGAAGATTTGAATAAAATTGCTTGTATTCAGCTGTAATTGCAGAGTTGCTTGTTGAGGTGTCCAGGTGCAATGAGAACCTGAATAGGGCATTGTTTGGGAGCCAGGGTTGTCCTTTGGAAGGGACGTGGTGAACTTGGAAATGAGCTTAATTAAAACTGCTTGTCGTTCATGTCAGAAATGGGAATCCTCTGGCAAAAAGGAAACAAAAGACACTTCACTCTGTCATTTTTCACACTGCACCCGTGGCACATTCAGCAGCCTCAGAACATGTTCATGCTCTGCCCAGGACACTGGGCTACAGCTCTGGTTTCAGCACGAGATTAATACATGGAACTTGCCTCCTCATTACCTCATTAATTTACAAATTTCAGTTGCTTGCAATGGACTTTTCAATCATTAAGGTGAATTAGTGATGATTTGCTGTTAATCTTGTTACAGTACTTTAGTTCCTCAGTGTAGCTACTTAAAACTATTTGATTTAATAGCAATAGTGCCAAGTTTAATAAAGAGTTCTACATCAAGAGCTTTGTCTGTAGCAGGTTTTGTTCATGGTTGCACTTGATGCTCTTGGAGGTCTTTTCCAAACTAAACAGTGCTATGATTCTGTTTAGTATTTGAAACTGGTTTAGAGCAAACTCCTCTAGTTTTTATTTTTTATTTTTAATTACTAATTTGCTTGCAATTTGAAGAAGGATCTGGCATGTTTGTCCCCACTTTGGAACAGGCTTATGGATTGACAAAAATGATCTGTTTTTTTTAAATTCAGGTGTTATTTTTTTATTTTGTTCTTTTTTTTTTTTTTTTTTTTTTCCCAAGAGCATAATGCTGAATATCTGAATATCAGAGATTGGTAAAATGTTGGAGGGAGCCTTGAGATTTCCTGTAAATGTGCTGCTTGGGGTCAAAGGATTTGTGAGTGAGAAAACCTGGGAGGAATCTCAGCAAACCAGCAAAGATTCTGAGGGTTAATAAAGATGTACAAGGAAACAGAAATCTGATGTTTGTATGTGTGAACCCTGTGAGGGTTCTGCCTTGTAGCAAGGACTCTCTTGATGCTCAGCTGGACCCTTTTGTGCCTCAAAAACCAACAATTTTCCTGAGCCCCTCAGGTCTCTCCCTGTCTCAGTGCTCAAACTGCCTGGTGCCTTCCTGGGGCCACGACTGCTCACATCTCAGGAGCTCACAGATTGTCATTGTCTCATTTTCTCTTGCAGGTTTCTGTAGGTGAGGACAGCTTGTCTTTGCACTCTGGTCTGCTGGAGGATGGCCATGGTGAGCCCTACCAAATGATTAATTATATAAAAATTGTCTTGTGCTAAAAATCTGTCCTGTGCCTAACACGGACTTTTTAAGAATTTCTTTCATGTTTGCAAGTTCATTTTCAGCTGTCATTTTAAGCCATTTGTAACTCCTTTTGCCCTGACTGAACACTTTGAAGTGTAGCTCCCTCACATTTAACTGGAGCTGATACTCTGGTGGCTCTGGCCATAAGCTGCCCACAATTTAAAACCATTGGAATTAATTTCCTTTTCTCCCTCCTCTGCTCCCTCAGCTGGACAGTCAGAGAGCGAGGCAGAAGCTCAGAAAGCTGTCAGCTCAAAGCAGCAGAACCTTGGTGCTAAAGCAGCTGGGCAGACAGAGGCCTCCCCACCCAAAGGAGTGAAGGTAACACAGCTCTTTAGTCTCAAACCTAAAGGTTAAAACCAACAGTTTAATGCTACATGTGCTTAAGTATAAAGGTCTGGCAGTAACTGCATCAATACCTGCTCTGTCCTCATCAGAGTGGGGTTTTGAGGGCACTTTAATTCAGGATGGAAAAGCACTTCAAAACTTTGGAGTTTTGAGTCAGGTTTTTTCCAGAGACTGGATGGGAGTTGTTCATTTCTGTTACACCCCTGTGACAGAGAGGCTTGAGCAGGGGATGGTCCCAGGGCTTGTCTGTGCTCCTGGAAATGGGCCCTGAGGTTCTGGTACTGATCTCCAGAGCCTTTAGCAGGCTGGGACTTGGCTTTGCTCCTGTTCCCAAGGTAGCTGCAACTGGTAGTAATTTTATAGTGAGGGCACTGTGGTGCCTGACTGTCTAAAAATCAGGTTTGGCTTACTCAGTAATGAGTCTTTGGTGCTACAGTTTCTCTAGGGAGTGATAAAGCAGATGGAGAACTTTGGGACAGAGATGTAATTTGCTAATCTGATTAAATTGCAAATGGCAGCACTGGAAGTTTTGGTCAGGCTGTACTTGCCCATCACGTGTGCTGCCTGGGGTTGGGATGCTGATTCCCTAGGCTGCCACACACTTCCTGGCTGACTCCTGAGGAAACAACTGGGCTTTTGTCTTCCCCATCTTTGGGAGGAACAGCCCTGAGCTCTCACACTGGGGAGATCTGGCTTCCCAGTGTGCAAGGGAGAAATGCCAGTATGGGAAATTTGAGCTGCCAGTGAGAGTTGTGTGATCCTGGTCTATGACACAAAACCTGCATGTCCTGGTGCTCTCTGCTCTCTCTTGATATTATCAAAACCATTGTAGCCTTTTGCCCAGTTACTGCTTTAGATGCTGCACTGTGTGAGATAGAAGCTTCTGTTTATTCATGCAAGGTTCCTATTTGTCTCTTCCAGCTTCTGTCTCCTGTTCTTGGTTCCTAACCTCTCCTCCTGCCTTCTGCTTCCCTCCTAATGTGAGCTCCACTCTCAGCTCTCTCTCAAGTCCTTTTTATACTTACTGGGCCTCCTCATCTTCCTCCTGTAGCTCCTATTTGTAGTGTCCTGGACAGGAATTTCTGCCTCTCCACAGACATAGGGCTCATTGTATGCAAGTAAGTTCCTCTCCTTGGATGGGGATGTGATTGCAGAAGCATGTGCCAGCACTGCTGTGTCACTGTGCAAAACCAATGCCCTCGTGCAAAACTGAGCTTTCAGGGAGAAAATGTTTTGATGGGCAAGCAAACTGTTGCTGCCTTGCTCCATTTGGCAAGCACTGGTGATTAAATTTTTGTTTGCATCAGTAAATCTCATTTTTTTTTGGAGATTCAGGGTTTTGGCAACACCGTGGATTCTTTTTCAAAAGGAATTCTGAATTTTTTTAGTGATGCTGTCATCATTGGAACTTTAATCTACTGTAACTTCAAGCAATGCCTGGAAACCCTGAAATACATATTAAAATGGAATTAAATTGGCAGCAAACTTTATGGTTGTGACAAAGTGACTTGAGCTGGCTCCATCTTCAGCAATCTGCCCTTACACACTGGAACTTTCATTCCTAACCATTGTTTCTAGGCTGTTATAAATAAATTTCTGTGATTATGTCTTCCTGTGACCTTCCTGTTTTTTCTTTAGCCATCACATTTTTCCGTAAAGCTTTTTGTAAGTTTGTAGCAGGTAATTCTTTGCCAAGGAAAAGCCACACTATGAGTTTGTCTGTGCAGAGCCTGGAGTGGAGGCTGGGCTGCTAAATAACTTGTAATCAACATGCAGCCTCAAAATGCCAATGTTGTGTTATTTAATTTATCCTGTGAAGTGTTCTCTCCATTGGGCAGTGTTAATAGATTTCAAGAAGTAAATGGCATCCAGTGACCTTTTCTCATGGATAATGTTCTTGCTTCCTTGATGCTGTGTGAAAACAAACCCGTGATCGTTGCTGCACAGCAGTGACACTCAACTCCTCAGTGCTGAACTTTATCCTTGCACTAAACCCTCAGGAAATTCAGTAAGCACATGAGAATTGTAGCTGTTTAACCTCAAAGCTCTGCTCTCTCTGAACCTTGAGCAAGTTTGAGAGGCTGTGAGTCCTGAAACCTGAGGGTGGTTTCTTTGGGATAGAGCTGGAATTGTTTACAAGTGAAGTCAGGAGTGTTTCCTGCTGTTGTATTGGTGCTGAGACTATTTCCTCCTCTTTGAGAAAAAAGATTTAACAGAAATGTATCATTTCAAACCATTGGGCAGCCTGTTTTACTCCTCTCCTTTCCCACCCTGTACCCTTTGAGGCTATTTCAACTCTTCTGGTGGACAGTGTCCCTGACTATGGCAGGGGATTGGAAATAGGAACCTTGATCTTCAAGGTCCTTTCCAACCCAAACCATGCCAAGATTCTCTTTTTCTGCACTGTTTTTATTATTTTGGTAAGTGTCACACTGATTGTAATCAACTGGAATGTTTCATCATTCTCCTATCAATAAAAACTGAGGTTCCAGGAAAGGATGAGGCAGCTTTGGGGAACAGGCCCAGTTTTAGTGCTCTCATTGTTCTTTCCCAAACATTGCTCAGCATGTGATGCCTCAGCTCTGGGATTCACTGGGGGAAAATCTTGGCTCCCTATCAAGCCACAGCAATCCTTGGGCCTGTTGTAGCTTCTTGCTGCCCACCATAATTAGAGAAAGTGACTCTCTGCAGTCCTGAGAGTTCAGGAAGCTGTGCATGAACCCACGCCAAGTCCCCAGCAGTTGATGTGTTTTCCAGTGAACAAACTTTCTCTTCCCCTTGTAGAAATTCCAGTTGCCAATGAAGGAAACCTGTGTTGGGTGTCAGAAGACCGTGTACCCCATGGAAAGGCTCTTTGCCAACCAGCAGGTGTTTCACATCAGCTGCTTCCGCTGTTCCTATTGCAACAGCAAACTCAGGTATGCACACTGCTCCCTTGGCTGCCCTCTGGGAAGTGAATTTCCCTCTCCCAGCTGAGGAAGGTGCTGCTCAGGCTGAGCTGGAGGTCACCATAATCCAATGATTGTGTAGGAGAGGTAACACAGGCCTACTTCTGTCAGTGCCTGGTGCACTCGATGCCATTTTTAAACCCTTAATGTGATTTTATGTGAGGAAAAATATCATGTCCAGCTTTGTAAAGAATTCCTAGAAAGAGCCATACAAACTCTGAGGGCTGTAAGCTTGTCTTTCTGAACGTGTGAAGACTGAAATTGAATTTCTGTAACACAGCTAAAACAAACACCTGTGTTGGTGGCCCTGAGCTCTAATGTTTGATCTGTGTTTCCTGAACAGCCTCGGGACGTATGCATCTCTGCGTGGGAACATCTACTGCAAGCCTCACTTCAATCAGCTCTTCAAATCCAAAGGCAATTATGATGAGGGCTTTGGACACAAGCAGCATAAGGAATTGTGGGCAGGTAAAACTGAATGTGAAGAATCCCCAGAGAAAACCGTCCATGGTGTGAATGCACCAGAAACTCCACAAAGCCCAGGAGTAGAGGATGCCCCGATTGCAAAAGTGGGAGTTCTGGCAGCAAGTATGGAAGCAAAAGCTTCAGCTGTGCCTGAAAGAGAAGAAAAACCAGCAGAAACAAAAAAGCTCAGGATTGCCTGGCCACCTCCGTCTGACCAAAGCATCCAAGGAAGTGCCTTAGATGAGGGCATCAAAGTATTCAAACCCAAGTGGCCTCCAGAAGAAGAGATTTCCAAGCCAGATGTGCAGGAGGATGTGGATCTGGATCTCAAAAAGTTAAGAAGATCTTCCTCGCTGAAGGAGAGAAGTCGCCCCTTTACAGTCGCAGCCTCCTTTAGAACAGTATCTGTTAAAGGCCATAGAACAGAGAATTCACCCTCTCCTTCTAAGGAAGAGAGAGACACCTCGAAAAGACGTGAGGAACTGGAGAGAGAGGTTGTCATAGAGAAAAAGCAAAAGGAAAAGAAGGTTGAGCATAGGAACATCCAGAACGCCGGGGAGAAAAATGTGGAGGAAGAACAGGAATTGTCTGGTATCAGAACAGCAGAGCACAACATTGTAGAGAATGGCCAGATGAATGCAGACACAGATGAGGAAGAACACACTACAGAGGAGCCAGAAATTCCAAAGGAAGAACTCCTTGAACCGAATTCTCCTAAACATTCCAGCTTAGCCAATGTTGTGACCGCCAAGGAATCATCTCCAAACCAGAATCGCAAATCCCAAGACGTTGGGTTTTGGGAGGGTGAAGACGTGGAAGATTTATCTGTGGAAGAGCAGATCAAAAGGAATCGCTACTATGAAGATGATGATGATGATGAATAAATTGGCCTTTTACTAGAAAACTTGCTGCAAGGTGCTGGGCCTTTTGAAATGGGTATTTTTTAGCTTTAATAAACAACTCTCCTGGATGAAGTGATGCTGCACTGCACATTGGCGTTAAGGGAATCTACATACAAATTATCTCAGCTAGAAAAGTCTGGAAGCCTGCAAATTCTTTAGGTGCATGGAACACTTGTCTGGCTGTGGGATGGCTTCAGCAGGTAGTGTCTGTCCCCAGCATGAGAACAGAGCAGTTCTCTACTGTCTCATCCCTTTGAGCTTCACTAGGTATTTCACTAACAATTTCTGGAATTCCGCTGTACTCGCTGTGCTGGTGTGGGACTCTGGAACACACCACCAATACCACTACAAATGCTACTGCAGTGCTTAGGGACCAACTGCAAAGGGACTTTCTGGCCTGCTTTAAAATGGTCACTTAATGCACTTTAATACATGGAAAGGGCACAACTGGGCTTTTTTTTTTAAATAATAAAAGCATTTCTGTGTGTAGTGTCCGACAACTAAAGCATCTTAAAGTGAGTGCAATGTGAATTTCTGTCTCAAACCTGCCTGTGATCAGTTGAGGAGTCCCTGCACAACTGGAGTGGTGCCCGTTTGCTGGACCATGTGTATTTCAGTGCTATCCCAGGAGCTGTGCTGGCTGCCAGGTCTCTGCAAAAGCCAAGTGAACACTTTGGAGCAGCCTGCAGGGCATTACTTCTGCATTTTACATGCATTTGAAGTGGAGTTTGTTTGTTTTGTTGTCATTTCTTTTTTTATTTGGAGTTTGTCATCATTTTAAACTGCAGATAATATTTTTAAGGCCTTTTGACAACTCTGAAATCCTACTTTTATCAAGCTGCCATAAATCTTTTCCTTATAGCTGTGAAATTGTGCTACATTGCAAAAATCTCTGGAATCAGTGACACTTTCCAATTGCCAGTGTTGAAGATCAGAACATTTTTTTAACTTGACTTCATTTATTTTACAAATAATAAAATCTTGAATGGGGGGGAGGAGGAGGCCCTTTTTTTATTAGCTTTTATTTGTACTGTATTCTCAAGAGAATTAGATCTTAACGATTCTTGAGGTGTAAAATATTCTGCTTTCTTAACAGTTCTGCTAATGACAAAACCTTCAATAAAGTTTGGGTCATTTCCATTATAACTGAAGTGTGGGTTAATTTTGTTTCACAAAGAGGCAATCATAGAATTGTCACGGAATCATGGAATGGTTTTGGGTTGGAGGGGACCTTAAACCTCATCCCATTCCACCCCCTGCCATGGCAGGGACACCTTCCACTATCCCAGGTTGCTCCAAGCCCTGACCAACCTGGACACTTCCAGGGATGAGGTATCCTCTGGGAAATCCATTCCAATCACCTACCACCCTTACAGGGAGGAATTCTTTCCCAATATCCCCTCTAGCCCTGCCCTCTGGCAGTTTAAAGCCATTTGAGAGACCATCGAGGTCTATCTCCATCATTCCTGCAGCTCCTCCAGGCACTGGGAGGCCACAATGAGGTCACCCTAAATCAATCCCAGTTCTCCCAGCAGAGCTGCTCCATCCCTCTGATCATCCTGGTGCCTCCTCTGGACTCTCTCCAGCAGCTCCACATCCTCCCTCTGCTGGGCCCCAGGGCTCGAGGCAGCTCTGCAGGTGAGGTCTCACCTGAGACAGGGGGCAGGAAGGGGACTCAGCCCACACTCGAGGGCTTCCTGGGCCATGTCCAGCTCTCCCCCACCAGCACCTAAAATCCTTCTCCTCAGGGCTGCTCGCCACCTATAAAAAAGGAGAGAAAAGCTGGGTGAATTCCCGGTGCTCCTGCTGGAAGGCAGCCCGGGCTGGCTGTGGTGCCCCGCTAGGTGACACTGTGTGTCCGTGCTTTGCTGCTCGACTCAAATGAGCAGTTTCTGCTCTCAGAACGAAGAGCGTGTGGAAGAGGGATTAAAACAGGACTGGCAAAAGGAATAAAAACATGCAGGGATTTTTCACTTCCATTTCTGGCTCCAGGTGGCTCTCGAGGGCAGCTGAGGACAACTGAGGGTTTTTTCCCCTCTTTCTATCAGCTGCTTTTTATTTAAATTATTGTCACTTGAGCCTGAGATGGGTTTGGTTGGGAGAGAGTGGGATAAGAGCCAGGAGCAATGCAGTGAACGTTCTGCAGCAGCATGAGGAAACGCTCATGCTCATGGATATTGTGAAGAAGGGAAAAGCCTGCTGCCTAGCTGGAAGGTGTTAGCAGTCCCACAACCTACTGCTCATTTTCCTTTCTTTTAAATGGAGCAGTACGACTTGCTTTGTACAGAGGAAAAAACGAAAGAATCTGATGTGCAAACCCAAGCTGCTTTCTGTCACCTTTCTCTGCTCCTAACAAAATCCATTTTAGTATCAGATTTCCTCAAATTGCTAAGCAACCAGAGATCTCTCTGACTGGAAATTGTGCTATTTGAAAAGGGAGGGAAGACTATTTGTCGTGGACTTGGATTTATGGAATATGCCAACTGCTTGTTTCTACGGAAACGCAATTGAATTTTACAGTGTCTTCCCGGTTACGTGATACTGAAGCAATACTGGCTGCACTTACCAGAGACTTTAATCAGAAAATCATTAATTCTAGTTAAATCTGAGGCATCTGTGAGTCTCTGACATACATGGGCCTGCCTCTGGTCACTCAGATCAACTTAACATCTTCAAGGAGGAATTAGCATATGAGGTACTTCTAAATAAAGTAATTGATTTAAAAAAAACCCGTGAACTAGATCATAAATTACTCTATCCTTGAATCTATTAGTTATCATAGCATTTGAGTGCTTAATGAGCCATTTAATCTATTCTCCTCTGGACAGGTGCCAAAAGAGACATTACACCAACGATGGATGGTTTGCCGCCCTGTTTTGCTGCCTTGAGGACTTTTACCAGTTCGAAGTTGTCTCTGCTTGTGGAAACCCCGAGGGCCCAGCACTGTGTGAAGCACGAACCTCACGGCCGTGACCTGGTGGGATTACTGAGGAGTCCTTTACAGGGCCAGGAGCCGGAACTTGGAGGATCCTCGTGGGTCTCTTCCAACTCAGTACACTCCGTGCCCCTGTGCTTCTGTCGCTTTCTGGCTCTGTGACTCTTTTCGGTCACTGCCGTTCCCTCAGGGAGCGCTGAGGCGATGGCGGGGCCGCGCGCGCGCTTCTCCCTCACGGGCGGGGGCCGCACTGCGCATGCTCCGAACTAACGGGCCCGGCGGAACCCCCGTGAGCAACGGCCCCGCCGCCGTGAGTGAGCGCGGCCGCACTGAGGGCCGGGCTGCGCTGTGGCGGTGAGCGCCGAAACCTCCTCTCGGCCTCGTTTGGCGGCCGTGGCGACCGCTAGAACGGAGAGGGGCGGGGCGAGGCGATAAAAGGTGCGGTCGTCCCAGCTCCGCACCGCCTGCGGGCTGTAACGGGCGACGCGCTAAGGGGAGCGGTCTATTGCAAGCCCGTCCCTTACGGGCCGTGGCCGCTCGGTGAGAGGCGCGGCCTCCTCCAGCCCCGCCCGCCCGTGTGTCGGCGGCGGGAGGGCCGGGGCGGGGGCAATGGCGATGAGGGGAGCGGTCTCTCTAAGCCCCGCCCCTCAGGGGCCGTGGCTGTCTCCCGATTCGCTGCCGCCATGAGGGGCGGGGCGAAGGGGCGGGGCGGGGCTGGCGCTCGGCCGCGCCCCCGTGTCTGTGGCGGCCGCCCGAGCGCGGCGGCGGCGGCGGCGGCAGGCGGAAGATGGCGGCGGCCGCGGCGGCGGCGCTGCGGGCCTGGTTCTGGAACGAGCGCTTCTGGCTCCCTCACAACGTAACGTGGGCGGACCTGGCCGGCGAGGCGGGCCCGCCGGGCAGCGGGCTGCAGTACCCGCGGGCCGCTCACGTCCTCTCCGCCTTCCCGCTGGCGCTCGGCATCTTCGCCGTGCGGTTGCTCTTCGAGAGGTGAGCGCGGGGCCGCCCCCGGGGCGGCGGGGCCGGGAGGCGCCGGGGTCTGTGAGCACCGGGCTGGGCCGGGGGGCGGCCCGGAGGGGGCGACCCTGCACCTTTCGGGGCCTCCGCCAGGCCCTTCGTGCGTGGAGAGGGGACATTGTGTAATCCTGGGAATCTGTCGCGGGAATCGTGTCTGTCGCGACATGAACAAGCCCGTGGGGCTCCACTGCCTCTCCACGAGAGGCCCCTCCAGTCCGGCGGTGCTGAGGTAGTGCCAATAAAAATCCTGTGTTTTAGACAGGAATTCACTTTTATTCCTGCTCTGCCCAGCTCGCTGGGGTGACACAGAGCTGGCGGCTGCTGCTGCTGCTGCTGCTCCTCACTTGGCTTCCGTGTGTGCTTTATTGTACTTTCCCTGAGTTCCTGGATGAGGAAATAGGGCTCGTTCACATGGCCCCATGTGTTGTTAAAGACTCGGTGGCTCTCCCTCGTCTCAGGCACGATGGATGCGAGTGAGGATCGTCACCTCTGCCCATAAACAGGTGTAATACGGGATTCCTCATTTACCTGGGCATCCATAAACATGTCAACTCAGCCCTGGGGCACAGGTAGATCCGTGTGTGGTGTGGATCTACCACAGCCACACGCAGTGTGTGGGTGGCAGAGATATTAATTAGTAAAGCGGCTTACTTAGGAAACCCTTAGGTGAAACGGACCAAGACACCCTGTAGTGCTGTTCAGGTAGTTCATTAAACATTGATTTAATCTTAAATTTCTGCCTCGAAAGGGCAGAAGTTGGCCAGGTTGGATGGACTTCGAGCAACCTGGATTAGTGGAAAGTGTCTCTGCCCATGGCAGGGGGTGGGACTGGGGAAGTTTTAAGGTCCTTTCCAATCTAAACCATTCCATGATTCCAAAAGTATTTCTAAGCATGAAAAGGGCTGCAGGACTAAAGTGAGTGGGAATTGAGTAGTTTGTTTTGGTTTTTGTTTTTTTTTTTTTTCTGTGGGTTTTCTTTAAGAAGTGTGAAAAGAAATTAAGAAGAGGTGGTTGGAACGAAGTTAAAAAATGGCAAATATGGAGGAGAATGAAGCAGGTCAGCAGAGATGTGAGAAACTTGAGAGGCTCTATTTTCTCCATGCTGTCTTTCTGCCCTTAGGAAAAAAAAGACTTCAGAAAACCAATGCAGAGAACCCAGGAACACACGTGGCACTGCCAAAATCCCATCTCAAGCTTGGTGTGCTGCTGGTCCAGGCCAAAGCTTGGTACTTGCCAGGACATAAGGAAAGGAGGTTGTGACACACAATGAAAAGGATATTGTAGGGAGGTGCCTAATCCAGTGTCAGTCTGGGGAGGAGGTGCAAAATATTCTCATTTCCTGGAATATTGGAGAAGGTGCACTGCACCTGATGGCACACTGCTCCGGGCAGCATTTACTGTGTCCTGATAATGTCTCCCTGGTTTATGAAATTTCTTTTGTGGTGTTAATTTAGGGTGGAGTCAAATGATGACTTAACTCCTGATCCTGCAGAGCAAAGCTCAGAGGCCGAGGTTCCTGAGGGGGTTTTTCCTGATCTCAGCTGTGTCTTGGTGGTGTCCCAAAGTGAAAGCAGATTGTGACAGCACATCTCAGGCAGTTTCTGGTGTGTTTATTTTAAAAGTACATATCTTTGGATAAACTCCATTCTGTTTCCTCCAGCCACTTTGCACATGTCATAAAAGTTCAGCTTTGTCTCAATAAACTCCCGTGGTGCATTTATCCCAATTCAGGCTTTGGTTGTGTCAAATGTCTTTCTTGTCACACGTTTCACAGTTGGACTTGGTGACTCAGAATGTGAATTACAGACTTGTGCAGCTCTTTTGGTTGAGCTGCTTCTTTTCTCTCTCCTTTTGTAGCTCCTCAGTGTGAGGAAGTGCTTTGTGCTACAACGCTTGTAACACTGACACATTTCTGTTAGTTAGAATTCCACTAAAAACTGCCTTTTACATCATGACATTGACAAAATAATCATTAGTTTGTCTGTCTGTGGGCACTTTATGACTGTAGGGATGAGGTAGGACTCACAGAGGAAGGTAAAGACAGTGGGAGGGTAAGGATTTTTATCCAGTCAGCCAAAAGAAAGACTTCTGCCCATAAATTTGGGTTGATATTTTTTATCCTTGATTTTCATTTTTCAGTATTTCTCCTTGCACATCTTGTACCACTGCAGATACAAAAAAAAAAAAAAAAAAAATTCCAGGTATCTGCAAAAACCTGGATGTGATATGTTTCTGGCTGCTCTGGAGTGCTCTTTGGAACCAGATATGGGTGTTACTGGAGTGATCTGAGCAAGGATCTGCAGCTTGTGCTCCAGCTAGGGAGGGGGAGAAAAAGGTGATTTGAGATGTTACTTAATCAGGTCTATTATGGAATGAGGTGGTTAAATCTTAACACAGCGAAATTGAGAGATTATGGAAGTACAAACTCAAAGAGATACTCAATAAATCTCATTTTTTATAAATAAATCACACAGGAGATTGCTCTTCCTTTAAGACCTGTAATAGGGAGTCACCAGCCAAACTGGAATGTTCATAAAGAAAGATTCTGCCTTCTTGTGAAGCACAAGATGCCTGAGAAATATTTGTTATAACACACAACTTGTGGACTTGAAAATTGGTGTTGCTTTTAAAATCAGTGTACATTAATGAGCAGTGTGAAAGAGAGGGCTGGGTAGGCTCAGGTGTGAGCTGATCCCTGTTGATAAAAGTTTAATACAAGTTTTTATGTGATGGGAATTTCTTGCTGGAAGGTGTGGCAGTAAGTTAACCTTGGGTTATAGTTTGTTGCCGTTGAGATTTCTGTAAGATCATAAAATCATTTAGATTAAAAGGAACCTTTCAAGGCCACCTCATCCCATTCTCTCCTCATATCAAGGCCAGTGTTCAGGCAGCTCAGATCACTCGTGGTCTTCTGCTGTTCAGTTTGAATATCCCCAGGAATGGAAATTTTACTGTCTGGGCAGTATTTTTTCCTATTTTGGGGGTTGTGCAAAACTTTGTCACTGTGAGATTCAAAACACAACGAAAACCTGCTCTGGGAATAAATATTTGAAGTGCCACAGCAGTTTGAAGTATAAATTTACCTTGCTGAGTTTACCTAAATATCAGGTCAGCTTGGGACTTTCCTGACTGAGCATGGGATTGACCACTCAGGTCACATTCTATCTGCAAGTTCATGTGGGAACTTCTGTGCTGCACTTGTGGTATATCCTGTAGGAAAGCAGAGCATAAAGACGTTGAACACTTCATATTTTTTTTTACATTTTTTGTGGGGGGGTCTTGCCAAATGTTTCATAACATCAGGACACAATTTCTGGCTGGTGGTCTGGATTACGGCGGAAGCCGTGAGCCTTTGGAGCCAAGCTCAAAGGAAATCACTCCTTCCTTTTTTATTTTTTAATTATTATTTTTATTTTTATTTTTTTTTTAAAGTTGTGGATGTTGAAATGTAATTTAGTGTGTCCAGAGATGAGAGCAGAGCTGGGAAGGGTCTGGAGCACAAGGAGAGGCTGAAGGGAGTGGAGGGGCTCAGCCTGGAATAAAACGAGGCTCAGGGGGAACCTTCTGGCTCTGCACAAATCCCTGACAGAAGGCTCAGGGTGGGCATCAGGAGGAATTTCTTCATGGGAAGGGCACTCAGGGATTGGAGGGGGCTGCCCAGGGAGGTTTGGAGTCCCCATCCCTGGGGGTGTCCAAGGAGGTGGCACTTGGTACTCTGGGCTGGGGACGAGGTGGGGATCGGGCACCTCTGGATGATCCTGGAGGGATTTTTCAACCTCAGGGATCCAGGGTAGAGACAGAGGAAGAGCTGGGGCAGACAGGGAAGCCTGGGCCTGCAGTGTCTATCATTTGTTTTGTGTTTTCTGAGAGCTGAGTGTTCCTTTGGGATCAGTCACAAGCTGGTCTGTAATTCCTCAAGGGAAAACTCCACAACCTGGGACTGTTCTTAAACACACAGATATTTGTTCCTGTAGCACTGAGTGTTCCTGAGAATAATTACTGTTGGAGCACTTAGAGCCACGATTCTCCTGAATTTTAATCTTTCCTTTTAAACACGAGGAGAAATTGTAACAATTGTGGTTGGAAAAAGCAGCATTTTCTGCTTGGTGGCACTGGGAGGCTCCTAAATATGTGTAATTTTGGCTTAGCTCTCTCTGAAACGATCACTCTGTGAAAGCAAAATGCTTTTAATGGTACAGATGTAGTGTCCTTTTCAAAATCGGTTTGAGAAACAGGTTTTTCCTCAAAACAACTGATTAAAAATACTAAATATTGCTCCTTTAACCCCCCCCCCTTTGGCTCACCAACAGGAGAGGAACAATTCACATGTCAGGTAACCCTGAGCCCATTCTGACATGAACGTGCAGCAAAACCTGGTAATTTTGAACATGTTTGTATTCGTTTTAGTTGCAAACCCAGGCTTGTTTCCAAAGTGTGTGCTATAAAATCCAGGAGGAATTAAATCAGTTTGGAATACACAGAGCACAGGGGATGGATGAGATCTTGAGATCAGGGATCTTTCAGACTGGAGACTTGGATCTTTCTCTCTGTCCTGAAGGAAGAAAGCCACTTGATTTCCACCCACCCCCCAAAAAAAAAGTTACTTTTGGGAGCTGTGTCACTTGAACTTCCTTTTTTTCTGAGCTGTGTGACACCAAGGCTATTTTGGAAACAAGATACTTTGTTTTAGGTCTTCATCTCCAGCATTTCTGTTCACAGGAGACTGCTATCAGTCTATTGTTTTATTGCTGAGGAACGAGAATCCCCCTGGGGAGCACATTCAGATCCTTACAAGCCAAGGGCATTAAGATTTAATTTTTTATTCTGTTGTGCACAGTATGTGCTGTGTGCAGTTACCATATGGACTAATAAAAGAAATTTCTTCACCTGGGAAGAGGTGGAATTGAGATTTCAAAACCTTTTTCACCAGGTTTTGCAATTGGTGACAAATCCAGGTCTTTGTGATTCAGGCAGAGGAAGGAAATAAAAATCTTGTTTTAATCCAGCTTTTTCTGGGCAATTCTTGCAGGTTTATTGCCAAGCCATGTGCCATAAACCTTGGCATTCAGGACAGTGGACCTCACAGAGCCCAGCCCAATGCAATTTTAGAGAAAGTGTTTACATCCATCACTAAGGTGAGTCACACTTTATATTCCTCTCTATTCCAAAGGGAATGGAGGCCTGGAGGTGTCACAGGAGGAGCTTTTTGCTTCCACTTTGCTGGGTGGGGATGCACATTTCACACTCTGCATCCACAAGTGGGCTCATTCTGGTTTTACTCTGCTCTGGCCTGCCCTTCTGGTAGCAAAGAAAATTCCCTGGATGGCTGAGCCATGGTTTTATGCACAGAAGAATCTTCTTCAGAATACAAGTATTCCCCTGATAGACAGGCCTCAACTAATTTCTTTAATTCCCTGCCTTTGGTCCAAGTTGAATGGTGGGGATTTTTTGGTTTAACAAAAGATTTCCCAGCATCTTCCACTTTTATTGGGAAAAAGTTCCTCTTTTTCTTGGGCTCAGTTCCTTTTCTGGTTTTATTTCTTTTATTGTGAATGTCTTCCTCTCATTTTTGCCATTTTCTGTAAACCTGGACAGCAGTTGTCAGTGGAAGTGGATTATTCAGGGAGGTGTTCAGTCACTGAAGGATGTCCTGATGAAGGGCAGGACAGTTTCTTTGGGTTGTTTCCTTCTTTCTCTTAAGCTCACAGGCCTACACCACTACAGAATTACAGAATCCCTCTGTATTTTATCCAGTATTGAGTAAGTGCAATAGATTTTCATTAAAGATAACGAAATGGAAGGTTTTCTGTTGAGATTTGGTGATGCTGAACCTCACCTACTGGAGCAGATAAAAGGAAATTCTATAAAAACCTCAAAAAAACTTGCCTTGTGAGAACATTAAAGTTTTGAGGCTTTTGGAATGATGTGTGAACTGAAAAGCCCCCAGAATCTGATGCACTTTGTTGGGAGAACTTTAATGCAGGGGATGTCCTTGAAATTAATGTTTAAAAACTCAGGAGGTCACAGTCTGTGCAGAATTTGTCTGGCTTATGAAACCTTTAATTGTCCCAGCGTGCTGTGGCTGATGTTGCATTTGGAGAGTCAGGCTGGGTGCAGGGGAAGGATTTCACTGCTGCTCTGAATTCCCCTTGGGCAGGTGCTTTCCCAATGCCCCAGCCATGAAATCCCAGGAAAGTGCTGAGAGATGTGGTGTGATGGAGTGACAGGACAGTCATGGTCTCAATGCCAAAAATCAAATTATTCTGATTTTGATTTTTCAGCTGGCCAGACTGATGATTTTGTATTAAATCAGCATTCTGCATAGCTTTTGTGGTTTGTGTGTTATTCAAATAGTAAAATGTGTTTATCATCTTTCAGTGACAGAGCTCCCTGGCAGAGCTGGTCTGAATTATCTGGTCTGAATTATCTCACTCCTGGGCCCTTGTAGAGGGAGTTACCAGGTTTGGTTCACTTTGATAAATCCATTTGAACACAGTAGAGTTCCCAGGTGGAGAACGGGGATATATTATATCTATATTTGTCATGGAAGTATCTCAGTCTTCAAATATATTTTCATTTATAAACTTTGATAACAGAAATAACACCATTTCTGCACTGCCCTTATGGAATATACAAATATCTGCTTTGCTAAACCAACTCTTTAAAGTTTCCCTGTCCTTGCTGTGAGTAGCAAACCTCGAACATCTTTAGCTTTGCTGCTCCTGAGTTCTGGGCTCTTTGAGTTGATGTGCAGCTTTAACAGGTAGGACAGGACACTTTAACAGCTCCTCCCCCCAAATTAACAGACAGAACAATCACATTTTTTGTCTTAATGTGCTGTCAGCTGATGAAATAGGTGAGGTAATGCTCAACCAAAACCATTCTGAATAATTAAGTAATTAGTGGCTTATGAAGGTTAAACCCGAATGACCATTTGTGGCAGTGGGTTCTTGCTTCCAGACTCTGTGGTCCCTTCCTGGTGTGTTTTTTGTCATCCGTGCATTATTTCTGTCGTAGTGCAGGACTGAAAGCAGCTTGAGGAGTGGGAGAAATGACATTTGTTTCGTTTTCCTTCAGTCTCCAGATGGAAAAAGGTTAGAAGGCTTGTCCAAGCAGCTGGACTGGGATGTCCGAAAGATCCAGCGCTGGTTTCGGCATCGGAGGAACCAGGACAAACCCACCACCCTCACTAAATTTTGTGAGAGCATGTATGTGTGTGCCCAGGGGCTTCACCTTAGAGCTCTGGCTGTGTTCTCCTCTAGCTGGGCCACAATTGCTGTGTGAGCAAACGAGGGCACTTAAAGGAGGTTTAAGATTTTAAAATACTTGGTGAGCGTGCCTGAGAGAGCAGAACGGGGTACAGGAGCCAGTGCAGAGCGGATTCAGACACTGGGCAGGTCCTTCGTGGCACTTGAGAGTGTCTGTGTGTCCGTCCATTCTGTCTGTGTGTCCATGTCCCTGTGTCTGTGTGTCCGTCCATTCTGTCTGTGTGTCCCTGTCCCTGTGTCTGTGTGTCCGTCCATTCTGTCTGTGTCCATGTCCCTGTGTCTGTGTGTCCATGTCCCTGTGTCTGTGTGTCCGTCCATTCTGTCTGTGTGTCCATGTCCGTGCGTCTGTGTGTCCGTGTCCATTCTGTCTGTGTGTCCATGTCCCTGTGTCTGTGTGTCCGTCCATTCTGTCTGCGTGTCCCTGTGTCTGTGTGTCCA